TAACTACCAGTTTACAAAAAATATGGAGGCTCATGGAACAAGAAGAACAATACTATGTGGATACAATCAGCTAAATCTAGAATGTGGGAAAATCTAGAGGACAAATGATCCAGTTTATTCACCCAAAATATAGTATAAAAAAGAGATGGGGAAGTGTTATAGACTAAAATAGTCTTAAAAGACATATCAACCAAATAAATGATATGGATGTCCTCTTCCTGAGTTCTTCAGGTACAGAATAATGTGTAATATACATGGTAATACTATCAGTTTCTAAAATGAGTGAACACCTTTCGAGTGAGTTAAAGTTTTACTCAAAACATTCCCAAGGTGACTTTGTGCTCATTAAGTTCGAAACCGTAGATACAAGTAACTGCATTTTTAAGAGATTCCAAGGAAATCATTCTTATCTATAAATTCTGGAGAGAAAAGAGTTAATTATTTTTATTACCTTACTTCAATTACTAGTAGACACTGTTTTCCTTCTCAAGTAGAATACATATCCATGAGTAGGAGTATATTTTAACAGTCATTGTATTGCTCTGCAACCATAAAAACATACTGATCCATTTCCGTTTGAGTACAGAAGCTAAATCAGGTCCAAGTGAAATGCTAAGAAAGTCATCTCCAACTGGGATGCCAACCGAAGCTTCAGGTTTTCGTGACAGATCTAAAGTTCCCCAAAATCCTGAGTAAATGGAACTTTGGAGTCAGGCATACCTGTAACTGTTCCTAGTTCTGATATATGATAATTTGATGAATTTAGGCAGGTAACAATTTTTAAAAACAACTCTGTTGAATTTACAAGGTATAATTTACAAGTCTCAAATGTACAGTTTCATGATTTTAGTAAATTTATACCGTTGTGCAACCATCACCAAAGTCTAGTTTTAAATTTCCATCACTCAGGCTTCCCTGGTGGCACAGTGGTTAAGAATCTGCCTGCCAGTGCAGGGGACACAGGTTTGAGCCCTGGTCTGGGAAGATCCCCCATGCTGCGGAGTAACTAAGCCCGTGCGCCACAGCTACTGAGCCTGCGCTCTAGAACCCATGAGCCGCTACTACTGAAGGCCACTCACCTAGAGGCTGTGCTCGGCAACAAGAGAAGCTACCACAATGAGAAGCCTGCTCACCGCAACGAAGAGTAACCCCCGCTCGCCGCAACTAAAGAAAGCCCCCTCAGCAGTGAAGTCCCAGTGCAGCCAAAAATAAATAAATAAAATTCATTAAATTTCCATCACTCCATAAAAGTTCTCTCATGCCTATATTCAGCCAAACGTGGCTCCCAGCCCAAGCAATCATGGATGTGCTTTCCATATCTACAAATCTACTTTTTCTAGAAATTTCATGTTAATGGGACCATACAATACATAGTCCTTTGCAGCTGGTATGTTTTTAAGTTTCATCCATGTTATGGTATGTAGTTTCCTTTTTATTGCCAAACAGTGTTCCATTGTATGGATATACCACATAGTTTACTCATTCACAAATTGTAGGACATTTGGATTGTTTCTACTCTTCACCTATTATGAGTAATGCCACTATGAACATTTGTATGCAAGTCTGTGGATATATGCTTTCATTTCTCTTGGATATATACCTAGGAGTGGAACTGCTAGGTATGGTAATTTTATGTTTAACTTTTTGAAAAACTGCCAAACTGCTTTCCAAAGTTGCTGCAGCGCTGTAGGTTCCTACCAGCAATGTATGAGGGTTCCAGTTTCTCCACATCTTTGCTAACATTTGTTATGTTTTCTTTCTGATTATAGGCATTCTGGTGAGTATGAAGTGATATCTCATTATGATTTTAATTTGCATTAAATGATTAATGATGTTGAGCATCTTTTCACGTGCTTATTAGCCATTCATAAATCTTCATTGGTGAAACGTCTATTCAAATCTTTTGCCCATTTTTAAATTAGATAATGTGTCTTCTTATTGTTATAATGTTCTTAATATTTTCTGGATACAAGTGCTTTGTTGGATATATGATTTGCAAATATTTTCTTCTATTCCATGGCTTGTCTTTATCTTTTCTTAATACATGAATTAAAAGTTTTAAATTTCTATTAAGTATAACTTGTCCATTTTTTTCCTTTATGGATCATGACTCTGGTGTCATAGCTAAGCAATCTTTAACTCAACATCAAAAGATTTTTCTGTTTTCTTCCAGAATTTATAGACTTTTAGCTCTTTTACATTTAGGTCTATGATCCATTTGAATTAATTTTTATGTATAGTGTGAGGTAAGGGTCAAAGTTCTCCCCCACCACCACAGATTTTCAATTATCCCAGCACTATTTGTGTTAAAAATTTTTTTTTTTACTCTTTCCA